ATTCGGTTTTAGTACCACACTATATATAGTACATATGTATGTGAAAAATCCAACAGTATTCATCGCAGTATCATAATATGGTAATACAATAATATATTCAATCGAATCTGTATTAACTATAAATGAATATATACATTTAGTAGGTAATAACATATTTTGTTAATAATTGCATTCATACTTTTCCCATGAGATTCATAAGGTAAATAATATTACATTTTTTGATTGTAATTAAAATCGTTTTTTTTTTTTTTTAAATATTAAATCAAATTAAATGAAATCGTGCAATTGAGATTTAAAATTATACATATAATACCTATGTCAATTCGGCATTAATTGTTGTGAATATTTTGTAATATTCGTGTATAATAGTAAGAAATATAAATGTATCGTGATTAATTAACTACCAGATAATTTGTTTACACATAAAAAATTGCACCAATAGCATAGTAAACAGATTGTATTTTTCTTTCTTTACATCGTAATACGTTATACGTAATCGTCATCTTCAATACAATGATCTTAAACCCTTTTTATTTAAACTAAAAGTCGTATAACATTAATAACTTCGAAAAAATACAATATAGCGATAGTAATCTAATTATTAAAAAAAAACTTTGTTTCGACAATCCAGTAATGTGGACACAGAACTGCAGTAATCAAATTATGAGATGGGTTCACCATTTAACAAAATATAACAACCGTCAAATTGGATAAAACGTATGAGTCACTTAACATAATATAACATGCGTGTTCAAGAGAATATTCTAATGCATCGTAAAAAAGTGTAATTTATATGGAATAAAATAAATCAGTATTAAAAAAATTAAAATATTTAATATAATTTATACACGTCATGTTCATAATATAGAATGTTCAATATTGGTTTTTAGTTATTATTTATTTATATAACGTATAATCTATTTTATAATATAAATAATAAAAATACTATGTGATAATATTATGGCGTGAGTATTCAAAAATATCATTTGATTAAAGTTATAAAAATGATAGAGAATATTCGAGTATCATTCACATTGAAAATTGTAATTATTTTAAAAATCATTTCTTCACCTCCAAAGTACATTAATATGCAAATATTTTGGTATAATAGGCCAAGTACTTAATTATGGTATAATACGTTGGAGTAATTACCGATTATATAGATTACCGAGAAATCGTTTGATTAAGAAAACATTAAAATGTGTACATAATTTTGAATAAATCAAATTCGTATAATTTATTGAACGAGATACAACTTTATTTTCTTGCTGTATAATAACTATCAAAAAAATAAACTATTTAACAGCTTTTCGTGAAATCGATATTAACCAAAATATTATATACAATGTATTATATTGTGGAAAATTTAATTGGGTTATCTTGACATCAATTTAGTGATATTTTATTTAGGTACAATGTACATAACACAATAAAGATATTCTAAAATAAATAATTATGTAGATTAAATTACTTATAGTTAGGTATTATAACCTTTCCGAGCTTATATTTTTTATTAATAAATTATCACGTCATGTTTCATAGTGTTATTGGATAATATTTATTCTTTAGTAATTACAATGTAGTATCCATTTCAAATTAGCCCTAAAATATAATTTGTTTTTTTTTTTAAATTTATTTATTAATTGTTTTTCTTTACTAGGGGTACAGTGATATCCATTTATGTAAGAAATAATTAGTAACATATTGGATTGCAGGGAGTACATGTTAAAATATATTACAAAATCGATGAATGTGATCTGACTAGTTGTACATTTTAATTTAGAAATTAATAATTCGCTAGAAACTAAAAACTATCATTAAAGTAATTGAAGAGGTATTAGATTAAAATAATAATTATTAATTATTGGCTTGAATTGTACAACAATAAATAATACACTACTATTATGCTACAAGGTAAGTAAATTAGACGGTTTACCGTGTACTCGTTAAGTCTAGTTATCGTTACTCCCTAGTCCTTGTGTCTTGTTCTTATAATTAACATATTCTGTAACACGGCGTAATGTGTAGGCAATTGTGGTGCTTCGCTGTGCAGAACTATAGAAGAACAATTATATTTGAATGCAATGAATTAACAGTCGTATGTAATGACTTAATAACATTAATTGTGACTTTAAAGTCCATTTACAATTAGGAACCGGTTTTACTGCAAAGATCGTTTTTTAGGGTGTAATAAAACAATGTATTCTAAGTACACAATCTCATTCAGGTAGCAAATATTTTAAAAGTGAAACTTTTATATTTATTGTCTATTTTGAATCATTTTATAAATTTAGGTTTGAAGTGCAAAATTAGGGAATTCGAAATATTTTTTTAGTCATTTTGTTTATTGTATTGCACTTTTTCACATCAATATTTAAATAGTTGATGAACCCTGTGTAATCGATTATTTTTAAATGTAAAAATGATGTTAATGTCGTTTACTCTATGATACTCTTTAGTAATTAGTTACTATATATTTCTCTTTAACAACGATTCCACGAGATCTCTAACTGCAGTACATATTTTTATATGTCTATGCTTATCAGTTATCCGTCACAGAATATGAAACCAGCTGGTATAAAGATACCTTACGTTACATGATTTGAATTTAAAATATACAATTTTGTGGAGTTCTTTGAAATCCATAGGGCCAAATGATTATTTGCCAAGTTAGTTGCATGATTCACTCTCAAAATATTTTTTTTTTTAGATAGCTGTCTAAACTAGTGTTTAGAAACCAGTAGTAAGTTAAGACATAATTTATTTTATTTTATTAATTCGAATGAAATAAAATCAATAATTAATTTAGGGACTGAACTTTAAATATAAATACATAAGACGCATAAAAATACAATACAATATAAACTCCTTTTTTTAAAAATTACATTTCTATTGAAGTATGATCATTTTGAAGAACGAATTTCCGGCATTAGCCATACATTTGGCATACAACTTAGGAGAGTAGGTTGTTTTGTTTCAAATTATTATTACACTTTATGAATGTGATATGCGCAATATCATATGCATTTATTTTGTACTCAAACGTTAAAATATTTTCCATTTATATTTCGAATGGATTGTATATGGTTAATATTTTACATGTATGTTCAGAACAGGGTTAGAGTAGTGAATTTATTTTATTATGAAGTACATTTCATTTGTATAATGTCGAGGGTGACACGCCAATCGAACTTTGCACCAAACCACTCAAACCTAATACTGTTGAAAAAAAAATATATTAGCTGTATGTTTGAATAAACCTTTAAAGGTTTTAAACCGTATGTTGCATGTCTAACAATCACTATGGAAAAATATTGAATTGTATAATAATATGTTCTTAATAAATAGAAATTAATCAAATGCAATAAAATTAGCTTACGTCAATGTATTTCTGTTAAAAATAAAATATTAAATTTATTGGCATAACAATAATTGGTGTAAAGCAATTGATTAATTTATATTATAATCATCCATCACATAACAACATAATCTTGTTTGATACTCAACTCCGTATAACTGTTTTTGGCATATAATACGATTATGATATTAAAAGCTCACTTATAAATTTGGCAGAATGACCTACAATAAAAACAGTCATACATGTTTAAATAATAGCAAGATCCAGATTATTAACTTGCATAAATTCAAACGAGGGAGATCAAATACAATTACGATGGAAATTATACAACTAAAAATAAGCGAAGTCATTAATTTCCGATTCAGTGGTGTTGCTTAACACAATCTTAATTAATATATTATTTTTGTAATGGGATAAAGAGAAATATACATATTTTGTGTTCTACAAAGGCCATTGTGTACAATTTATATTATATTCAACAGCTTGATTGAAAATATACATTCCCAGACGGTGGATGGAAAAGTAATAGTTATGTTTTATTGGAAAATGAACAAATAGATGAAAAAATAAAATAAGAAATCTATGTTTAATATTTTAGATTTGTATTTAATTTTGGTTATAAAGTCCATGATTTGTAAGATAGCAATTGTGTTGCATTTTCTGCATGGTTGATTTAACAATGTTTTTTGTAATTTATTTTAAAAAACGCTTTTATGACGGTTTAAGAAATACCTATTGTAGTTAAATGTAGAAATGTATGTATAATGTATATATTCAAACAAGATAAGTTTAATTATATTACTAATGAACTGATTTTGCTTAAGTTTTAAGACTCTTACAACAATCAAAATACTTAATGAATAGCTTAATATGGTTATAATTTTCAGATAACTAATTTAGCTAACAGCGATGAAATCAAAGTTTTTAAAATTGATAACACTATTATTTGAGACATTTTTCTGAAAATAAAGGTAATGACAATGAAACCTTGTCAGAACTTTTGCTTAATTTGTCTGTGATAGAAAACTTAGATTTTGAAGTAAAGGATTTTTCAATTCTTACTGATTCATTTCGGTTTTAAAATATGATTTTGTGAAGAAAAAAAATTGTTTCAGGCACGTCATGTTTTCGATGCAATTTATAAATTGGCAAAATACAATTTTTTCCTCTAACGTTTTCCACTTTGGTCGAATTCGTTGTGCGCCTTTTGAACATCCAGCAGTCGAGTATTCCGAAATTGCTTTATCGCCAGGGTCGATATTTGACGCATCGTCTGGTGCAGTATAATATTTTGGTCGATCGTCGCCGCAGAATGGTACCGATGCGCGATGCTGGTACAATACTGCGGTTGACGAATTAGGCGACCTAGTAATGCGACCGCTGCAATGTTGCTGCTGGCAACACGTTTGTCGCATCCGTTTCTCAGAACATCGCTAATCATTACATTCGTGATTTATTCTTCCGTATTTTTTTACGATTTAGTGATAATAATATGTTACCAAATAGTATATCGGGTAATCCGCGGAAATCGCATTATCGCAGTGAAAACAATATTAAATCTAGTTAGTTTAGTTTTAAATGAAACTTAATAGACAACAATAATAATAGTATGTTGACCATCGCATTGTGTTTTGTGTTACAGAAATTCTATGTCCATCGCCGGTCGTGCCACTCAACGGTCTCCTCATCGAAGATTCGGCACCAGGACGTCATGTCGTTGGTTCCGTGGTGCAGTTTTCTTGTGGTGAAAAACATCAGCTTATCGGAAAACCCAGCATGGTGTGCACAGAAAATGGCACTTGGTCACACTCCACGCCATACTGTGAGCATGCATATACTTTTAGATTCAGATAAAAGTTTACTGTTTACATTTTGTTTAATGCTATAGAAACTATACGCGACGTGCTTTGAAGTTCAAATCCATTGCTTAATACCTATTTATTCCACCACATGAAACAATATTTCGTACATAAAAATAATGTGACAGGGCAAAATATTCACCATAATAGGATAACATTTTTATGTTTTTATATGAACGTTTATTCACATAAACCGTTTTAAGTAGGTAGTTACCACTTGTTTTGAAATGGACTGCTTTCAATGCATACGGTACACAATTATTGTAGAATAGTATTATTATTTTACAATAATTTCAAAAAATAAAAATACAAAATATTTATCAAATTTAAGCGAAATTATTGTGCTTTCACCGTTATGCTACTATAATATATATTATATTACTATAAGCCATTTAAATTATTTATTAATGTTTTCAATAGGAAAGCAATATATAGACTCCTACACTTCACATGCATAAACCTTACAATTTTACATGATTTAATGAAAGTATAAATCCAAAATTAAAGTACATCAGGTTAAGATTTTGATAAATTTCGAGTACGCACTCGGTAGGTACTCATACATGATCCAGATTTATAATAGACAGTATTGAAGTAGACAATAAAATTAGTTGCAGCACAGACATGTTAACTCACAAAACTGCCTCATCTATTTACGTAAATTATTATTTAAAATATATCTTTTATACATACGGCTTATTAAAATTGTTATATGATAATATTATACATGTTCATTCACCAAGAAATAAGCATACTCTTTGCTCACACTACCTTTTTTCTTCTTTAATAATCTATTTATTGAAATTCTACTTTTTTTAAAGTTCTAAGTATATTATTTACTTAAAGACTATATTATCAGCAAATACTTAAATTATTAATACCATTAAAAAAATGTGCTGTGGCGATATAAATTCTTACTTTTTCAATTCTAAACTACTTTCTTTTATTGTACATTTGAACATTGTTAATGGTTTACCCATCATAATATGTGCTGTACTTGTCTTACGAAAATACAACATAACAAATTCGGTAGAACCAATTTTGTGTGGTTAAATCTTTGAAATAAGAAACTAAAACATCGTAAAACCACTGTTCAAACACAGATAATTGTATAACCGTTAAGTTTGACAATGTGTTAATTCACTATAATATAAAAAGTATAATAATATAAAGTAAGTTCTTCTGAAAAAAATTGCCTTTACTATACGATTTTAAGACAGACACCACACATTCTGCTATAGTGTTATCACAATAATTTTCCATATAAAAAAATGTTTCTCATTAGAAAAAAACAGAGAAGTCACTTACGAGTTGCCGTAGAGTAGGTTACCGTATCAATGCTTTCAAGAATACGATTTGTGTGGATAAATATAGACTGACACATTCTTTGTTTCTAAGAATATTTTATTATCATTTCCATTTCTATTAAAAAACGCTATAACGTGGTACATTGAAATTGTTTTGACAATAAAAAATCCCTCGTCTATTTTTTATAATAATAAAATACATAATATTATTTCATATAATATTTTACCAGTTTATCTGGAAAACGTTCATTTAATACATATATTGTCGGATGACACGTCAAAATATCCCATTTAAAATTATTATAGAAAAATTATTTCGCTTGAATATTCATTCAAAGCTGGTTAACCTCTTTTATAAAAGTTGTGATTATAGAAAGTACAGTAATGGAACTTTATCTAAACTGTTTGTATAATATTAACCGTTATTTAGTTGATGGTAAGTTAACCGTGTATCGTGAGCTCACTGTTTTCACTTAATTTAATTTACCTTTTAACACGGATTTTTGAATTGTTTTTATAAGTTTTTTTAGAATATTCTAAAATAATTAGTAGTAATAAGTACAACCATTTTATTAAAATAAAAAATTAATATTGTAAAAACAGTTTTTTTAAATGGGAATCCTTCACATATAAATTTAATGCTCAGAAACTCATTTATATAGTTTAAAATATTCTTCAATTTAAAAAAATACTTAATTATATATTTGAATTGTTATTATGGTTAGTTATTACATTTTGTTATTTCGTTGGAGATATTATGACTGAGGTATTTTGACGTAGAACTATATTGTTGCACCTTACACAATCTTATTATATATTTATTAACCAGTTTGATCGATTTCCGTTGCGTATTTTCGTACCTATAATATTATTTTGACTGTCCTCCGTGACATACATCTTTTAAGCATGAAAAATTCATGACCAACTATAGTGTATACTACCAAAACCAAACCAGGATCCGATTACTTTTTTTAAAATAATCTAGATACCTCTGATAAAACTCAAAATATATTGTGGATATATATTAGCATTTATTTATTAATTTTAAATTTTAATGAATAATGAAAATAACGTTTATTTCAAGAGTGACCAACTACGGTCCGTGATCACTTACGCTAAACGGCACTTTGTCCTGTCTATTCCTTATACCACGGAGACTATGTACGGTGAAAATAAATTGGTTATAAATGATCACAGACACTAGTAGTCACTATGTACGGAATAATAAATCGATAATATTCGGTCGTGGGAATTTATTATAGGTGAAAATAAACTGGGAAATATATTTTCAAAGATGAGATTGATCACAGTCGCAATCTCGATCAGTAGTAATGGTGACATTCCAGAGTACACTATTCATACGCCATGAACAATTTTAAAACAATTAAGTTAAATTCAAACATTTTTAAAAATTGTAAGATATCCTGCATGTACTCATCATGAAAATTAAAGAATAACTAATAAATCAACAATTACCTGAAATAATAAGCCGTTCATAACTAAACTTTGAGTTGATGATAAGTTTTATGACCCATATAATTTTCAAAAATCAATAACTTTAAGTAGTTATTTATATTTAATGACACTAAGTTAAACAATTTTTAAATTTTAAATTTTTGTACCTCCAAATTTTTTTTATGGCTCTTGATAAAAAAATTAATGAACACCGCAAGTTTATGTGTTTATGTTAACATTGTGTTCTTATATATTTAATTATTTTTTTTCATACTAGATGATTAACTGTAAAAAAATTAATGAAATCATTTTTAAATTGCGTGGGTCCAACCATAATATAGTATTTGAGATATCTAAAAATAGGGTTTTCGTACTTTTAATTTAACTTGCCCCTTAAACAATCTAATGGTCGGCGTACGTCTTATGCAATAAATTATAATACAATATCTTGAACCACCATTGATCATAACGAAACGAATTTGTGGGCGCGTGCGCTTGGGTGTGTGTTTTGAATGTTGATAATATTGCAGGCAAGGCCAGATGCGAGTACCCGGGGGAACCGCCCAACGGCCGTATCATACCACTGAAGTTCTGGTACGTGCCGGGTGACAAGTTGAAGATCACATGCTTGGCAGGATATGTTCTGCCACTTCCGCTGGAGGCCAGCCCACCTGTATGCCTTGGTGACGGCACGTGGTCGCACACACTGCCCGAATGCATACAGTACACTAACGTGTGATCGGTTGACGGCGATCCGATCAAGACGTCTCCGGGTGGACGAACACGCGGTTTCGTGGCGAGTGTGCTTTCCTACGACCACCACCGACGGATTTTTTATAATAATATAGTCATAATGGGGTGTAATATGTCTAATATAACAGTATTTATACGTACAGTTGTAATTTTAATATTGTGTATTTTCATAGCCGTAGGTGCAAATAAGAGGGGGTGGTAACATAAGTGGCTTGATTTTAATGCCCCCAGAGATGTATTAGAAAGAAATACAAATATTACGGAACGATACATAGGTATAAAAAATGTAAATTGTAATTATATAATTATGTGTTAACATAGTATTTTGTATAATATTATATATTTATTCGGTGAGTATTGTCAACATGCAACGTATACCATGACATATAGGCACCGGTGGTCAGCATCTTGATGATTTATATCAAACGTCATTAGACGATATTCATTTTTGTATTATTACACGATACACGTATAAACAAATCGGTCCCATTATTTTGTTATATTTTAAACTTTAGTCGTAAAAATGTACTATTTAACTTTTTGCGAAAAAGTATGCCACTTAAAAATATAGTGATATTACGATCAAAGAGGAGCTATTAAAAGTGATTTTAAGTCTTCGTTAATTGCACGATATCATCACATCGATTTTCACATTCAAACCCTCTCCCCAAATTTTAAACTCTATTTGCGCTTAACGTAGGCACATCTAACCACGTCATAGTTAACACCTCCTAATCCTGCAGACGACTACCGATTATGCAAAACATAACAATAATATTATGCACTATGTTTAAGTACTAATAATATTTGACATGGTAATTTTACCGTCAATCGAGACATAACGACGCGACATCGTCCTCGACGAACGACTGGCCGAGTTCAATCGACCAGGATCGAAACAATAATGTATACACCTCATTACGTCATTACCCACACCTATATCCACCCGTCAACTCGTCTAATAATAGTTACTCATTTATGATTATAACTTACTATACTATCGATACCGTTACATTGTACATTCCTCAATCAATTATAACGTACTATTAGGTTTATTATACAACTAAAATCATTGCAAGTATAACGGCACTGTGACGTGACCAGCCTCAATTCAAGTGCGTCGAGTCGATAATATTGTTATAAATTGTTTTTCAAAGCCGTCTACAATCATGGCGTAAATATATTATTGGACACTTCTACGCAACGTTGTCACGGAAAGCTCATGTCAACGGTATATTATATATAGAATAATATATCTGTCAAATTCCCCCATAAAGCAGTGGCTCAGGTTTGATCCCGACAATTGTGCTGGATTTCCGAGTAACTATAGGTATATTTACGGCCAAGGGCGATAATTCTGACTGTGCGGACTTTCTGACTACCTGCTTTGCCTAGCTTTATTTTCTGCTCTCTCTCTTTTTTTTTTATTTCTTTTTATTGTATTTGAACTTATGTAATTGACGTCAAATGAAAATGGAAAAATATAAAACGTTTTTATCCTTCCGTTCGGCAAAACGGAATAAAATCCCTTGGCCGTTTTCGACAGAAAATTGCGATGGTTTTCGCGAGAGGCAATACTTGCAATACATCTCTGCGCTGCAATAGCTACAAACTAAAAATATTTTTAATCATTGATTATATTTTCATTTATTCGATATTTGACAACTTGCAAAATAATTTATCTTGCGGTGATTTATGCATATTACACCAGTACTATTACCATAATGTAATTATTAACACTTAAATATTTGAATATCATAAGCCAATTAGTTGCAATGATTATTAGGTACTTTGGTACAAACTACAAACTAACATGTGTATTATTTGATTTTAACTATCAAAAAAAAATCACAATATACATGGTATGAAAGGTGAAGAATATATTATATTATAATCATATATATTATAATAATAATTAATAATAAAATATGATACAAGATCACTATTTTGTTAATAATATTAAAGGTTTTTTTGTAATAATATAATATGATTGTATAATTATCGTTATTAATAATATCATTATTGTATCACTTCATGTTTAAAAATAAAATTTAGAACCTAAATGTCTAAGTTAATATTGTACATGGTCCAAGTTCAATGGTTGTTTGATCTGTTTTGTATTCATGTATTTTTTTCGACAACTAAAAACACATAAACCTTTTTCTGTCCTCCATTAAAATCAATTAATTTCTATCAGCATTTAAAATGCATGGTTAATAATAATTTTAATATTTTATACTAGCATAATTTTGATGTTTCCATTTGTATAGATTTTTGTGCTTATTTCTTTATTTTACAGCACTTTTACCTGCATTCTTTAGCATATTTTGTGTTGGTGCTTTATTCAACATTTTTCATCCGGAAGCAAGCCAATTATATAGCTGACGGCCTTTTTCTCATACATTGTATTCCTTCGTTTTCAAAAATTTGGCATCCTATCAATGTTTAAAATCCAAGTTCAGTAGCAGGTGTAAAGAAAAATATTGCCAGGAAATTGAATTTGCTGTTCCTGAAATTTGTTACTACGAGTTACCGTAATTTTAACCTTTCAAGGAGCGTTATCGTCATGAAAGCCTTTAAAAAGATTCAACATCAACTGTGGTATCTGTTTCTAAGTAGGTATTTATTATTTACTTTTAAAAATTACCACATTATTGCATCTTAAACTTATCATGCATACTAATACAATTGCTAGCATATTGCAGAATTTAAGTGATTTTAGTAAAATAGACATTAATATTCACGTACTTAAATGTTTATAATCGACAAGTGATATACAACATTTTTAATATTGTCCAAGTTATAAGAAAACTAATAGTATGAATATGCAAGCTTACCTATATTAAAATGATGAAATGTATTTAATAAATTTAGATTTGATAGAGATTTATGTTAACGAAGTAGATATCTACTTATATATAAAATTACCCTTTTTGTATATTTGAAATATTTAAAACTAATTTAACTAAAACAGTGTGAATAAAAGTACGAAAATAAATGACCACCATATTTTTGTATATTATTTAATATTTACTATTTTAGATATATTATATGTATTATGATTATCGATTTATAATGTATATTGTATGTATCTATTTGACATTTTCAAATAATAATAATAATAATAATATTTACGTCTATATTTTGTATTATTCTTATTTGTATACAATATTCCTTTTTATTGTTCATACATTGTTAAATATTATGGTATTGTTCATATTATTCTTATAGAAATATGATTTATATTTACAACTTGAATAAATTGGAAAACAATCCATATCATACTCCAACCTACTATATTAATAACGGTTTTAAATTAAACATTTCAACGTTCTATATATAAAATAAATAATAAATAAACTATCATAATAAATATAAATATATGTGTATATATATAGTAGGTATGTAGATAGTCAGATAGATTTATTAATCTACGGTAATTTTAATTAATATTTAACTTACAGAAGTGAAATATTATAAATGAAAAATTCCATGTGGATTTATATTTTGAACTTAGGGTCATTAAAAAATAGTTTTCACTTACTTCGTAATGGGTTTTCATAACAATTTAAGTTCATCGTATGCTTTAACGACTACAATACGACATATCTTGGAATTCTCAGAGAATTTTGTTCATTCATTGCGTTAAGTTTTTAAGTTTCATCACGAATTATACTTTGTTTAATTTTAATAATATACAATGCATATTCTTGGTCCATTGTAGACAAAATTCAATACAACTAAATAATTGTAAGTTAATTAATACCGAAAAAGTAGGAGTACGTGATTTACGTAATCTTATATTTTAATTAGGTATTATAGTTACCTTATTATTAAAAGCGTGTTAACTAACAATGTGAAAAGTCCTTGGTACATAATTTATGATGGCTATAAATTGTAATAGACGCAGACATGGATTAAAAATTTAAATAAATAAAATTCCCGATAAACATAGATGTATAATAATTTTTCATAAGTTAAGTAGGTAAATACATTTTAACGAAAACCTGCACATTTAAATGATTGATACAGTATTGTGATAAACCTTTTTTTTTTTTTTTCCTGTTTTAACCGACCACGCCGCGGCTCTGCTTTCGCATTGCTTCCGCGGCGCCGCCATCGTTTATTGACGGTATCAAAATTAATATATACATAGGAGGCAGACGAGACAGCTCCCCGACTTACCCCGTTCAAGCATTCTAAGTTTTGCATTAACAATTAGGACTTCTTCCTGACCTTCTCGGGCCGACCGGAGTCCGCCGCCCTTGAATTCGCGTGCCTGTCCGATTGGCGAGCCGACTGGAGTCCACCGCTCTGGATGTTTCGTTCTCTATCAGAGCGGTCGCACGTTCCCCTGTGCCCTTCAGTCGCACGTTCCCCTGTGCCCTTCAAATGATTGATACAGTATTGTGATAAACCTACGTATTGTAAATTCTACCACTGTGTGGGTCACATTTATAGAACTCTAAAAATATTACTTAATAGATTACAATTATTTATTATAAAAGAAACGTGTAAAAACAAAAATTAATAACTAGTATCTATACTTCATAATTTTATAAATAGGAAGTAAGTTTAAATAAGTATATTATATGGTATGTACATGATGTAATTAATCATATTTCTGGTATTATTTACATCGAAATTATATTGATATGTTCATAAATATTTTGAATTAATTTTTTTTACAATTAATAACAAATTATGTTGAAATATTACAATTTAATTTATTATTTAATTTATTAGTTTTAACCACCTAATTGATGCCTTATAATAAAAACAATATAACTAATAACTAGTAAGTATAATATACCTAGTTTCATATTGTATGATCGTGAAATTCTTGGTAATAGTCAATACTCAACATATATTACCAAGGTACATAAATTATAGATTACTGTAACATAATATCTATACTCTATAGTAGACATAATATTATAATACTGTTTGTACGATTTTACATCTAATATATTTCAAATTCAAATTATATCTTATATTGGACACATGTCAGTAAATGTAATGAAATAAAAAAATGCACACAATATAGACAGTTTTTCTCATACTCAACTTACCAATTAACATAATAAGAAATTCTATAATAAATTTTTTTTCATTTATTCTTTTTCCAACCTCTTATTCTTATGACATTGGAATCTAGGATGCCCTTAAAAATGAAATATATGTTTAGATTTAGTTTAGCTAAACTTAGTTATGAGAACTATCAACTTTTACGTTATACTTAATTAGGTAAGATTCAATACAAAATTGTTAAGTGTTTATATCATAAATACAACAACATAATAATATTATCAACCACAAAAAAACATTTTTTTGCATAAACATTTACTAAACTAAATATTTAAACTGCAATTATAAGAAGCATTTATTAAACGGTATCAACAGATGTTAACAGGTATTACTGTATTAGCTGACTTTTACATCTATCTACATTCAGCAGGCAGATATTAGGAATAATAATAAAACTATGATAGAAGCTACAGCGAAGTAGGTAGGTACTTACTTATTTTTTTTAATTTAAATTTTGGCTTTGTAATTGAGTATTTTTTCGATATTTTGCCATTTGTGGCCAAATCTTTGGATATGCGAGGGCCGATACAAAACTAATTACGAAGTCTATGATATAAAATTCTATGATTAACGTGTGTATTTAAAATACACACATTTTTACTGTTAAAATTAATTGATTCAAAATTATTAACGAACTCTAAAAGAATAAATTGTCCAACTTTTAGTAGAAGCAGAAAAAATAGTGTAGTCTTTGAATTACCCCAAACAAGTGATAGCACCTGGTATATAACATATCTTCACGAAACAAATTAAGACTATGAATAGTTTATGGAACAAAAAAGCTTTTCTGAAAGTATTATTATAGTCGTTGGTTTTGTCCTACCTACCATATTTACCCCACTTTCATAGTATGCTCTACCACGACTGCAATTATTTATTAATTACATACAAAACACATCTCTACTTTATTTCTAAAAAAAGGCTTCCTTAATAAATTTACTATGAATAACATTTTTAATGCCAGAAAACGATATAATTTTTGAAACCAATTTTCCTATTTTTTTCGAACTTTAATCCTGCTTAGTCAAAATCACCAGAGCTCCTAGTACGTCACTGCTTATATAAATATTTTAATTATCATTATTGACCCTCCTCATAACTCGTGCCAAATTATTAGAGAACGGCAATGGTCGATAAATATATGGCACATCTACAGGTATAGGGTTCACGTATACGAATAATAAATATTTTTGGGATAGAAATCCGTTGCGTGTGGTGTCGACCACATTAAGAATTACCCATTAAACGCACGCGCACACACACAATAGCAAAAGTTTAAACACGGTCAACCGAAATCGTGTCAG